TTTTTCTTGACTCGTTACCAAAAAAGCAATTGGCAGTCAGCTCCCAGTAGACAACACAATGTGACTTGTTCATTCAAACAACCCTTAATTAGCATCCCATCTCCTTTCTCAGATACAATAGCTTATTTTTACACACTGAATATATTTTTCCCCCATTTAGATGACAGTAGAAAAAGAGACCAGATAAGTGTGGGTACTTTTGAGTATGAGGTGGGGGAGAGCTGCAAATGCAGTCGTTTCTAAGAGTACAAGTTCACGTTCAAATTATTTTCCCGCACAGCTTTTTAGGGTGTCTTTATTGTGGTGCTAACAATGAGATAAAAGAGGCAGAAAAGGCAAGGAAGAAAAATGCTATCTTACAGATAATACTGTGAAACCACCCTAATTGTAGGTAATTCAAAATAGCATGCTATTTAGCAGAATATACCCCCAAATCATCACTATTCTTTTGCTAACTAGGCTTATCCTTTCAGTAAAATTATCTATTAATTCTAAGAATCCATTATTTGGAAGGAAAAAAACAGGTTTCCAGAAGACCGTGTCTCTTGTGCAAGCAAGTTACTATCCAACCCTGACTGAAAAGATTCTGGACATTAACCAGTTCTTTGTAATTGGTGGTTTATAGCAAAAGCAGGATGTAACACAAAGTAATGCAAAATCTTTGGGGTTTTTTTTTTTGATGATGGAGTCCCATTCTGTCACTCAGGTTGGAGTGCAGTGGCACAACGTCAGCTTACTGCAACCTCCACCTCCTGGGTTCAAGTGATTCTCCTGCCTCAGCCTCCCAAGTAGCTGGGATTACAGGTGTGCACCACCATGCCCGGCTAATTTTTGTACTTTTAGTAGAGACGGGGTTTTCACCATGTTGGCCAGGCTGGTCTTGAACGCCTGACCTCAGGTGATCTGCACACCTCGGCCTTCCAAAGTGCTGGGATTACAGGCGTTAGCCACTGCGCCTGGTCACGAGCTCACATTTTTATGATCTTTTTTTCTTCCCTTGATTCTCCTTCTGGCCCCCACCAAGTGAGGGCTATTTGAGGAGGAGGTCTAGCTAGTTGTTTAGTTGCCAGAAAAAAATATATATTTTTAAGTTATTTTCCTTTTAGTTTCTGTATATTTAAATATCAGAGATATTGCTCTATAAGCTAAAGATCTGTATCATCACACAGAATGTGGCTCTAAGTAAATAAAATCTTCACACTTAGCTTCATTTGGGTTGAGAGGGATAGAATGGGTCATGAGAGGGCTAGAATGGGTCAGATTGTCTAAAATTATTATTACCATAGCTACTTTTATTCCTGGTACTCCGATGGAATATTACTTACATAGGCTCAGAGATTTAAGTACCTTCACCAACATCGTATCATTTAGCCCCTTCCACAATCCTTTGAAGTAGGTAGGGTGGGTAGCAGGTATTATCATTATTTACATTATTTTTCAGCTGAGGACATGAAGGCTCAGGTGTTTTGGTAGGGGAAAATTGCCTTGCAGGGCTAGAATTTTCCAAGAAAATATTACTTTATGAATGAAACTTTCCATCTTTGATTTCCACACTGACTCTTAACCAACCCTACTTAACCACAGCATTGACCAATGACCTCCGTTCCCTCTGCCGAATATGCTGACGCACATGCAACCTTGTATAGTCTTGGTTCACTCTCTTACTGAGCTCGATACTTTCATTACCATCTTTTGATCTCTATGTTCCTCAAGTTGTTTTTATACCAAAACCCCTTTATGGCAGGTGTACTCATTATTGAAGTCCAGTAACTTAATTACATATTATAGAAATCAATAAAATAAGAGGGTTAAAAGAGAAAAAACTTTTATGAGATAATTGTATAAGTTGAATAAGTTTTTCACTGGTGAAAAAAGTAAACCAGTAAAGAAAACTACAGTCAAATCAGGGACAGGTGAGACAATGATAGAAGTTTGCCTCTAAGTTAAAAAATCTAAACAGAAAGCTGAATCTATATTGTTTCATAGGCTTTTCTATTTTCTCTTTCATTTTAAATAAACTAAAATGGGAAATTTTGATAATATATAAATGATGTGATTGACATAAACTATATGATCTAGAACTCCATCTTCAGACCAACACTCATAAAAGACTGAACCCCATAATAAACAAATACATTTGAATATGAACAAATGTACATGTTTTAAGACAAATTTTTTTTTAATGATTCTCACATGGACCGTTCTTGATTAACTGCGTTTTTTAAATTTTTTGAAACGGAGTCTCGCTCTGTTGCCCAGGCTAGAGTGCAGTAACATGATCTCCGTTCACTGCAAGCTCCACCTTCTGGGTTCATGCCATTCTCTTGCCTCAGCCTCCTGAGTAGCTGGGACTACAGGTGCCTGCCACTACGCCAGGCTAATTTTTTGTATTTTTAAGTAGAGATGGAGTTTTACCGTGTTAGCCAGGATGATCTTGATCTCCTGACGTCATGATCCTCCCGCCTCAGCCTCCCAAAGTGCTGGGATTACAGGTGTGAGCCACCGTGCCCAGCTGATTAACTGTGTTAAACAAGAGGGCTTCTAGCTATAGTTGAAAGTAAAGCAGGCTAATGCAGTTTGAATATAACATTGTGGATTAAACGTTAAGGTGCAAAGTTAGATTTGGAATATAAGCATGCCTGGAAGGACAGAAGAGTAATTTTGTTCGGGTGCAATCAGCGTCTGAATTTCTAGCCACCCTTAATTGCTTGGGTAGCATAACCATCAAACTCCTGGTCACCCATGAAATGAAATTAGGCTGCCTGCCACTACTGGACAGTGGTGGTCAGGTTGCCTCTCCACCAACATGATGGCCCTCAGTCAGAGGCTAAGTGGCCTTCGTCATGCTTGTGGTGGCTTTGGTCTCTTTGCTCCCGGTTGAATGGATTCGTGTTTCATAAGCAACCTCCTGCTTGAGATCCTAATTTATCTTGTGACTCCAATTTATGCTCATGAATACAGTTGTCCAGTCACAGCATTCATAATATCTAATTCTGATCCTCTAAAGGAAAGCTGAATACCAAAAAGGGACTCTCTTCCACTTGCTTGCTAAGTTAGACTCCCACAATAATACCTTCTCTGACCTTGTTTGGATAGACACTCTGGTTATGGGACTTGGTTTGCTCGTTTTCATTCATTAATTCAAAGTATGAATCCTTTAGTCTACTCCACAGTGATCTGCAAATTGAGGATGACTTCCCCATCATAATCCTAGTCCACACTTTCAAATTGTCCACTAGTTTAAATAAACAGATTCAACATTTGTTAAAAACCTGATCAAAATGTGTTGCCTATCTCCTCTTCCTAAAGAGAATGGTTAAAGATTTCTAACTTGAATGTAAGCAATCATACACACCACTCTCGGGATGCAGTCACTTCTTGCACTGTAGATTATTCTTTCCCACCGTAAGTGGATTTGAGGGAGCAGCATAGTGTAATGGTGAGGAGGAGGAAGAGAAGGAAGAGGAGGAGAAGGAAGATAAAGAGGAGGAGGAGGAGGAGGAGGAGGAGGAGGAGGAGGAGGAGGAGCAGCAGCAGCAGCAGCAGCAGCAGCAGCAGCAGCAGCAGCAGGAGCAGCAGCAGCAGCAGCAGCAGCTTGGGAGTTAGCTGTTTGAGCAAGTTGCCTTCCTTGTGCCTCAGTGTTCTCATTTGTAATGGGGTTTACAAATATGTTTACTATAAGGATTAATTTTCAAGCACACCGTTAGTGCTCCATAAACATTTGCTCTTCCAAAGATCCAACAGTCCAATTTCTACGCTTTCCACATATATTTGTTGAACCTTCTAGATTACCTAACTTTTACTCTAATTTTTTAAGCTAATTATAAATGATAGAGAAGATATATTTTCATTTTATGCATTTAGAATATAACATGGCATAATTAACATTTTCTTATTAGTATCTTACCAGAATAATTTATCTCCTCAAACAAATAGTTTAATAAAGTCCACTTTATTTTAAAATAGAATTTTCATATCTATTGAGTAGCCAATTTCTCTGTCTGAATGAATGCACATCTGATTTTATAATGAAATTTAAGGCAATGTACTCCATTAATGTATACACTTACTATGTACCCACAAAATTAAAAATAAAAATTTAAATAAAGAAACTCTTTTTTTAAAGGCAAACATGGGTTATGCTTAGTCAATATTTATATTTCCGAAAACCTTTCTTGGAATGTATTTAATTAATCAAAGACATATATGGTACCTGCAGTTTGACTTAATGAAGTCTTTACTTATCTTCTTAAGGTTTTTGTGGCCATTAAATTGGAAACAATGTAAGTACCTATCAGTAAGGAAATGATTGCATTTTAGCACATCCACACCATTAAATTCTAGTAATTTAAAATAACATTTTGATGACTTATTAATGACATAGAGAATACTCATAATGTTAAAAGCAGAATATACAACATAATACAATACCCTCCTTTGTTATCTTTACACCAATGCTGTACCTTCTCATGACTTCAACCACTACCTGTCTGATCTCTATCTCTCACCTGTACATTTCTCCAGAGTACCCTTATTTCTAACTGCTTAATAGACTTAAAAGACTTTACCAGCCAGAAGTCTCCAATATTATCAAACTTAACACATTGAGGATGAAACTGATATCACATCCACTCAGCCTTCCAAACCAGAAATCCTGAAGTCAAGCTCTCTCTTACTCTAATTCGATGAGAAACTAAGCACTATGGCTTCTACTGCTGGAACGCCTAAATATATCTTCCAAAGCTATTATATATATATATGTTTATATATATATACACACAAGCTATGTGTGTATATATGAGCTATATATATATACACAATGTGTATACACAAGCTATGTGTATATATATGAGCTATATATAAATACACACACAAAGCTATATATATAGCATACACACACACACACACACACACACATATATACAAGCTTGCACACTGTCACCCAGGCTGGAGTGCAGTGGCACGATCATAGCTTACTGCATCCTCAAACTCCTGGGCTCAAGCGATCCTGTGATCTCTGCCTTCCAAGTAGCTGGGGCTACAGGTGAGCACCACCATGCCTGGCTTGTTTATGTATTCCTTTCATGGCAATGGATAATTAAAAAAAAATTCGTTTGTAGAGACAAGATATCTTTATGTTGCCCAGACTTGTCTCGAATTTCTGGCCTCAAGCGATCCTTTTGCCTTGGTTTTCTGAAGTGCTGGGATGACAACGGAACAACTTTTAAATGTCTCCCCCTTGGGTACCTACTCACTCTTCAGACCCATAGGCATCATATGAACTTTCTGGCCACACATGTATAATTAAAATGAACATTTTCTGTAATTTTAGCAGATAGAAAAAGGAAGAGAATGAAAGAAGGAAAAAGTTAATATATGGCCCCTTATGTGGCTTTTTCAGATTAAACTGTTTGCAAAGTTCTGAATAAGTCAATGGGCAAAATGGGGCTTAGAGTACTTAAGTCATGTAGTTTAACTCAGATGAAAGATGGATGTAAATGTGGAGAAAGAGTACAGCTGTGTTAAATTGAGAGCTATGTGTTAGGCCAAATTATCCAGTAATTCCTTGACTTCATGAAAGATACGTTCAGGGTCTTATTGCTCTCTGGGACCAAAAGTGGGTTGCTTGCCTTCTAATGTCTTAATTCCTTATTTGGCCCCTTATAATGTTGGGACAATGATTAAGTGCCTGGACTTTGGAATTAAGCCTGGATTGAAACGTGGACTCCATTACTCACTAACTTTGAGGCTTTCATTCTCTCTGAGCTTTGGTCTTCTCATTTATAATACAAGAATAGTAAAACCTTTGTAGAGTTAGAGTGAAATAAACTGAATTTATGTATGTTCTAATTGTGCTTAGCACATACATTCAATAAATGGCAGTGGCTAGAAAATATCTTCCACTGTGTATGTAATATGGTCAACATGTATCCCTATTCCCTTCTTTTCTGAACGGGGAGAGTAGTGCAATAAGTAACATCCAGTAGTAAGGGGACTTTGTTTCCCTGGAAGTGTGCAAAAACTACTTGCCATTTTGGATTGCTCTTCCAGTTCCAGCTTTATAGATGTAAGCTACCATGTCTTCTCTAGTAATGGAATTTGAACACTGTCATTTCAATATTTGTTTCTCTGAAGAGAAATTCCCTTTTTTTTTTGAGATTTATCTAAATGAAGGAACTCAAACTTACCAGCAATAAAATCTCTCTAACTGCAACTTAACTGTTTTTGTTTTTCAGCTATGTATTTTTTCATTTTTAATTTATTTTCATTTTATAAACATTGAGGTCATGAGAATACTGGAGTTATTAAATAAGAGATGGCAATTATTCATTTATTTATTTGCTCAGAAAGTAGAAAGTTTCATGAAACTTTAAAGCCTGGGAATTTCTAAAGATAACTCCATCTCCATATGTTTTTTGGAGGAAATGATTTTTGTCTTTTCCAAACAATGACACTTAACACAATAGAAAGTTGGCACATTTTTGGTAAACAGAATTTTCCTGGTAGTGTGAAGTCTACTGTGTATTTCTTTTGTGCCAGACTTCTCAGTATCATTTTGATCTGTAAAACACCAACATTTCCTGTATCATATTATATTTATATCTTTGGAGAGTCTAGACAGAAAGAAATTTTTATTTTAAACAGTAATGAATAATAAAAAACCACAAAATCTTTATTGTAATATTTGGGACTATGATTGGCTGCAGGGAAAAAAAGCACAAAGCAGATGACACATAGAAGACATATAACATAAATGTTTGACTTTGATATCCCCAGAAGGTATATCTCAGACATTAAAAAAAGACAGGAGGCTAAAAATTGTAGCACACAAACAAAAATCATTTCTCTAATTTTTGAATTATGTGTCCAAAGAAAAAAATTAAAACTTCAACCACCCATTGGTGTGAGAATTGTTAAAAAAAAAAAAAAAATCTAGCTTTCCACAGATCCATTTGGCTCTCCTGTAAAGACTGAAATCTGAGAATGTTAACAACAGGTTATCTCTGAGGACAATTATTGCACCTGAGAAGGAAAGAAGAAGATATGCTTTATTCCATTGCAGACACTGAATGGAGAACTCTGAGCATCATAGGTAAACCAACTCTGTATCACTTTGAAATACATATTTGAGGCTGCTGCATGCAGCTCCCCCAATAGCCGCAGTCATTGGTGCCAATGCTCAGGCGCCCGCTGCCCTTGACCTCCGGCCCCCAAGCCCTAACCCAGCACAGGAGGACCAGCCACCGCCGCCAGGCTCTGATGCTGGTCTCTGGTAGAAGAAGGTTGCTCACAGCTCTGCTGCAGGCTCAGAAGTGGCCCTTTCAACCCTCCAGAGACATGAGACTAGTGCAGTTCCAGGCACCCCACCTGGTGGGGCCTCACTTTGACCTGGAGACGGGGAATGGTGGAGGGGTTATCAACCGCAATGCCTTTGACTCTATGCTCCCCAAGATGATGACACAGTTCCTAGAGCAGGGAGAGGCCACCCTCTCAGTGGCAAGAAGAGCCTTGGGTACCCAGTTGCCAGTCCTATCACGGTTGGAAGTAACCTTCCTGGCTCCAGCCACGTGGCCAGATAAGGTGCTTTGTGTGGGCATGAATTATGTGGACCACTGCAAAGAACAGAACATGCCTGTGCCCATGGAACCCATTATCTTCAGCAAGTTTGCCAACTCCATCGTGGAGCCCTATGATGAGATGGTCCTCCCACCGGAGAGCCAGGACGTAGACTGGGAAGTGGAGTGGCCGTGGTCACTGGAAAGAAAGGCAAGCATATCAAGGCCACAGATGCCATGGCCCATGTGGCTGGCTTCACTATGGCTAATGACGTGAGTGCTCATGACTGGCAAATGAGACATAAGGGGAAACAGTGGCTGCTGGGAAAAACCTTCGACACCTTCTGCCCTCTGGGCCCTGCCTTGGTGACCAAGGCCAGTGTAGCAGATCCACACAACTTAAAGATCTGCTGCCAAGTGAATGGGGAAGTGGTCCAGAGCAGCAACACCAACTAGATGGTGGTTAAGACAGGGGAGCTGATAGCCTGGGTCTCCCAGTTTGTCACCTTTTACCCAGGGGATGTCATCCTGACTGGGACCTCCCCAGGTGTCACTGTATTCAGGAAACCTCCTGTCCTTCTCAAGAAGGGCGATAAAGTCCAGTGTGAGACTGACGAACTAGGTGTCGTCATCAGCTAGGTGATGTGATGGCTCCTCCACAGTCCCCGGTCATAGTATGAGGGCATCTGCTCCCACTCACCCTAGCCCAGGAAAAGGTCAAATGCCAGGTGTGGGCAGGTGCCAGCCCTGCAAGCCTCCTCTTCTAGGTAGAAGGGAGGACAGAGCTCTCTTCAATAAATTCATTGGGCCAAAGCAAGAAAAAAAAAAAAAGAGAGAAATATGTATTTGACTTCTACAGCAGTTCTGGTGCAATGACATACTTGGTCTTGGAGAAAAAGGTTGAGAGCGACCGTCTGACGGGGTTTGGCATATTAATAATTGCTCACATCATCCCTGTTGGATTTCTTTAAAATATGCCACATATTACACACCCTCTAGGAAATGCCTTCTGCGTAACCAGCAATCTTAGTTTCTGTCCTGATAAAACCTTGATTCAAGAATGAGGTAAAGCACTAAAGGCACATTCCTGACTTTTTCTATAAGAGTGAACACAGATAAACATACATTACAAGATTCAAAGATTGAAATGCTCAAAAGAACAAAAACCATAATGTATCTTACACAGTTATTACAATCTATTCTGTAATCCTTGTGAGATAGTGTTTCACATATCATTTGCCAAGTGTCAATCCTTAGTACATATGCAACACTAAATTGCATGTAATAAGTAAGTAATTTTTCTGGGGAAAATATTATTTAATTGTTTTAAAACATTTACATACCTATATTTACAAATAGTTTCATAAATTATGGTGCTATGTTGATTTTATAAGATTTTATTTGTAATGGAAGAAGAAATAGAAATAATAATAAGAAATTTGTTAGGGCATGAAAGCACTTTGAAATAATATTTATTTTACGACAATTTACTCAGAAAATTCAAACCAAAGTGGGCAGGGGGTAAGGCATTTTGTTCAGATCTAAGAAATGGTGCTAAATATTGCATGAGGTTGTTCGTAGCGTCCTCTTTTATTTAAATCTCTGCTTTAATTATAGTCATTTTTAATTTTTTTTTTGCATTTCCTTTAATTCTGCTAGTTTTGCCTATTTTATTAGACTTCAAAAAAATTGGCTTTTGTTTACATAAATCTTTTTTTTTTTTTTTTTTTTTTTTTTTTTGAGACAGAGTCTTGCGCTGTCGCCCAGGCTGGAGTGCAGTGGCCGGATCTCAGCTCACGCAAGCTCCGCCTCCCGGGTTTACGTCATTCTCCTGCCTCAGTCTCCCGAGTCGCAGGGACTACAGGCGCCCGCCCGCCCGCCCGGCTATTTTTGTATTTTTTTAGTAGAGACGGGGTTTCACCATGTTAGCCAGGATGGTCTCGTATCCCTTTTTTTTTTTAAGACAGGGTCTCATTTTGTTAGCCAGGCTGGATTTTTTTTTTTTTTTTTAAGACAGGGTCTCATTTTGTTGGCCAGGCTGAAGTGCAGAGTAGCCCAATCATAGCTCACCGCAACCTCAATCTTTTGGGCTCCAGGGATCCTTTTGCCTCAGCCTTCTGAGTAGCTGAGACAACAGGTGTGCACCACCATGCCTGGCCAATTTTTAACTTTTTTGTTGAGATGTTAAGTCTTATTACATTGTCTTGGCTAGTCTCAAACTCCTGGCCTCAAGCAATCCTCCTGCCTCAGCCTCCCAAAGTGCTGGGATTATAGATATGAGCCACCATGCCTGGCCTCATCAATCCTTTTATCTTTGTTTTATGCTTAATTAACATTTATTCTTCATTATTCCTTCCTTTTTTCTTTCCTGTTCATTTCATAGTTCTTTTACTAACTTAAGTCTGTTGCTCAGATAACAAATTCTTTTATAATATCATATTCATGCCTATAAACTTCCTTCTATGAGCATTTTTAGCAGCATCTCACAAGATTTGGTGTTTAGGATTTTCATCATCCCTGAATTGTAGGTAATTTACATTTTTATCATAAATTCATTTTCATCCATGAATTGTGTGTGTGTTAAAACTTTTTTAAGTGTCAAAGTGTATTTTTAATCTTATCTTTCTGCTTTTTATTTCTAACTTAATGCACTGTAATCAAAGCATATATTTATAGTTATTCTTAGAAATCTGCCAAGACTTGCTATATAGTCATAGTTGATCACTTTTCACAAAATCTCATGCTTTAAAAATTTATATTATGAGATTATTGATTGGAAGGTTCTACATATCTTTATTAAACTAAGCTTGTTAATTTGAATAAAGGTTATGTATAAACTTTTTCTATATTTTTATTATTTTTTTGTCTGCTTAATACTAACGTCTTATTTTTGTTGGGTTTTCTCCCACTATGATGGTGATTTATCAATTCCTTCTTTAACTCTGCCCATTAATGCTTCATATATTTGGGGGGAGGTTATGTACGGTATGCATTTATATATGTAGAATCTTATTTGTGAATTTCACATTTTAGTATTATAGATTGACATTCCTTATCTCTAGTAAGCTCTCTGATAATGATTGTTTTGATTTGAAAGTCATTTTTCTCTGACATTCTTTATCTCTGGTAACCACTAGTAATTATTCTTTTGAGAATATTCTTTTGAGAATTATTGAGAGTCAGTTATATCTGACTTTTGATTAGTATTAGTTTGGTGTATTTTTTTCCATCCTTTCCATTTTAACATTTCTGTGTCCTCTTGTAGGCAGCATTTATCTGAATTTATTTATTTTATCAGTTTGGTAATCTCTGATATTTAATTTGCAAGTTATTTGTTTATATTTAGTAGGATTTGGATTTTTTTCTGTCTCCCAATTAGGTAAAAGTTTTTCCTGATTTTTCTATGTTACCTTTTGTTTTCTCTTTTATTTTAGTTTATTTTCAAAATTCTGTCTTTTCCCTCTTCTACTAGATTGGAAATTACACATTCAAATTCCATCCTTTTAGTGGCTAATCTTAAAATTTTAACATGCATATTTACCTAAAAGTCTAACTTTGGCTTATATTTCTGTTTTCATGGTAACACAAAAATATTTTAACTTTCCTCATCTCAAATTTTAAATACTATCATTATCCAGTATTTTAGTTTCACCCTCATATTTTACTTTCTTTGCTCATTATTATTTCTTTTCTGGATTGAATCTTCTTCAAGTATTTTCTTTCAGTTCTTTGTAGATAATATTCTATTGATTTTTGGCTTCTAGTTTTGCTATAGAAAAGCCTTTTTTTTTTTTTTTTTTTTTTTGGTTGGTTACTCTGGTGGGATATTACTTTCTTTGGTGCTTTTTCAGCTCCAGAGATGTGTCTAGCTGTGAATTTACATTTACCTATTCAGCCTAGGATTTACTGTGTTTTTTAGATCTTAGAGCTCAAGTTTTCCATCAGTTTTGGAAAATCCCTAGCTATTATATCTTCAAATATTACTTCTTTTCTCATATCCTCTTCTTTCTCCTTCTAAAACACCTGTTACAGTATATTGGATATCAAATCTATCTTCTATGTCTCTTAAATATTCTTTCATATTTTTAATCATTTTGATCTTCTAGGTATTTTCCTTAGCTTTATATTTGAATCCATTAATTATTCATTTAGCTTTGTCTTGTTTGTTGCTAAACCTTTCTAATAAGATTTTTAAAAATTTTAATGTCTTTATAATGTTTATTTCTAGTACTTGTTGGTTGGTTTAAAATCTTCATAGTTTTAAAAATTATTATTATTATACTTAAAGTTCTAGGGTATATGTGCACAATATGTAAGTTTGTTACATATGTATACATATGCCATGTTGGTGTGCTGCACCTGTTAACTCGTCATTTACATTAGGTATATCTCCTAATGCTATCCCTCCCCCATCCCCCACCCCACAACAGGCCCCAGTGTATGATGTTCCCCACCCTGTATCCAAGTGATCTCATTGTTCAATTCCGACCTATGAGTGAGAACATGTGGCGTTTGGTTTTCTGTCTTTACGATAGTTTGCTCAGAATGATGGTTTCCAGTTTCATCCAAGTCCGTACAAAGGACATGAACTCATCCTTTTTTATGCGGCATAGTATTCCATGGTGTATATGTGCCACATTTTCTTAATCTAGTCTATCACTGATGGACATTTGGGTTGGTTCCAAGTCTTTGCTATTGTGGATAGTGCCGCAATAAACATACGTGTGAATGTATCTTTATAGCAGCACGATTTATAATCCTTTGGGTATATGCCCAGTAATGGGATGGCTGGGTCAAATGGTATTTCTAGTTCTAGATCGTTGAGGAATCACCACACTGTTTTCTACAATGGTTGAACGAATTTACAGTCCCACCAACAGTGTAAAAGCGTTCCTATTTCTCCATATCCTCTCCAGCACCTGTTGTTTCCTGACTTATTATAAATGATTGCCATTCTAACTGGTGTGAGATGGTATCTCATTGTGGTTTTGATTTGCATTTCTTTGATGACCAGTGATGATGAGCATTTGTTCATGTGCCTGTTGCCTCCATAAATGTCTTCTTTTGAGAACTGTCTGTTCATATCCTTTGCCCACTTTTTGATGGGGTTGATTCTTGTAAATTCATTAAAGTTCTTTGTAGATTCTGGATATTAGCCCTTTGTCAGATGGGTAGACTGTTAAAATTTTCTCCCATTCTGTAGGTTGCCTGTTCACTCTGATGGTAGTTTCTTTTGCTGTGCAGAAGCTCTTTAGTTTAATTAGATCCCATTTGTCAATTTTGGCTTTTGTTGCCATTGCTTTTGGTGTTTTAGTCATGAAGTCCTTGCCCATGCCTATGGCCTGAATGGTATTGCCTAGGTTTTCTTCCAGGGTTTTTATGGTTTTAGGTCTAACATTTAAGTCTTTAATCCATCTTGAATCAATTTTTGTATAAGATGTAAGGAAGGGATCCAGTTTCAGCTTTCTACATATGGCTAGCCAGTTTTCCCAGCACCATTTATTAAATGGGGAATCTTTTCCCCATGTCTTGTTTTTGTCAGGTTTGTCAAAGATCAGATGGTTGTAGATGTTTGATATTATTTCTGAGGGCTCTATTCTGTTCCATTAGTCTATATCTCTGTTTTGGTACCAGTACCATGCTGTTTT